TGCGCCTCCGGGCCAGCCCTAAGTAATTTCCAATCTTGTATCATATTTAATTCGATTCAACTTAATAAAATTTTTACATGTATGTATATGTCCAGAACCTCACACAAAATTCAACTAATTAAGAATTTTTTGTGTGGAAAGGAGTATTATGTCTAGGCATGCCTTCTTGCCAAGTAACATGGTTTTCCTTTCAGGGCAGCTGATAAACATCAGACCTCAGACAGCTCAATGTCTGGGTACCGTGTCAGCAGAACTGCTGCATTCCTAGAGCCTTGGACCCGTCACAACAAAAGCACACACACTACACCACTACACCCATCAATGCATTCGGCTTTCAACTTCTCCCTGCTAGATAACACCAAAGAACATTTTACTTCAAAAACATGCATACAAGTTCTGTTAATGTCAAATATGCTTAAAGAATGTATAATTACCCAAATGAATAGTTTCATTTTTATAGTATGCTGAGATAAAACACAGATTATCTGCTTCTGTTAAGTAGAAAATTAGTAGAATAAAACCAGCATAAAGGAAGCTCTATTTTCAGTTATAACCAATGTTGCATTAAGCTTAAATATAATCATATATTCAGGTAGTTCAGACTTTTTCTTAGCTCTCCATTCTTAGTTTCATTTTTTCTTCTGCGATGTTTATACTCCTTTAGCAAAATAATTTTTCAAGAATCTGAAGCACTTCTAAGTCCATTAGAGGTATTTATTCTAAAGCTACTATTTAATTTTAAGCAGTTCTAGATTATTCATAAACAGGAAAGAATTCTACTAGCTAATACGAGGTCATCCACATATCTTTGACTCAGCTAATCAATCATGTAACCAAAGATAACTTACCACATATTTTCAGTGGTGCTTCAAGTTCTAGTAGGATAGGCTGACTGAGAAAGATCTCACGAGACTTTAAGCACAGTCCTCTGATTTCATTCTCCTGTAGCTGGACATTCTTACCAGGTTTCGACCCTCTCACTGTAGGGGGGGAAAACAATTAGTCCAACGAAGTCAAATCACAATTTTACATAAACATTTAAAATATCTGAAAAGATACAAGTTTTAAAGTGGGGACAAAACCATGGTTTAACTAGCTTTCTGACTGGTTTTATTTTCAGGACACTTAGAAGGAACATGGTTTCAATGCTGAATCAGAATCTTAAAATCTTAGACAGGATTTCAGAGATTTAGTTGCATCTTCTATACCAAGTAAGACTTTTTAGTATCCTGAACAAGGGGTTATCCTATCTGTGTATGAATACTAATTGCTAGAAAGTCTTCCTTTTACTATGGACTGAAATCAAACTCCTGTGGGACACAGGTCCAGGCCTCAGTTCTGCAGCCAAGCCACACTATTGGCCTTGTTCACCTACAGCCTACCAACTGAGACA